AATCTAGGACAACATAGCTGAACTGGAAAGTGAGCTGAATTGGATAATTTTTCCTAATCGTCTATTTTAGCCTAGATTGTTCCCTTCTCCTGCCTTCTCCAAACCCTTCTCCCTTTTGTGAATAGCCCTGTTAGTCTGTACTTAAATTTATGGGGGGGGTTATTCACTAAATGTATGGATGTAGCCAAATGTTTGGCTAATCCTGCGGCTCGCTTCGGCTGCAGCAATCCTTTGGTTCGCCCAAACTGAAGGGCTGCTGTACGCACTATTCTCAATAGCACGTACAGCAGCCGAAGCATGCAGCTAAGGCGAACGTGTATGCTTCGGCTCAGCGAAAACAAACACACACACGGATGTGGGTAGTAAGATCTGCCGAAGCGGATTGAATCTCTGCAAATTGTAAGAAAATAGAATAAAACAAAAAAACAGTGTGCAGTTCCCCTCCCAGATTCATACCAGACTGTTTAGGTCTGTTAAAAAAAAAAGAACAAAAATACGATGGGTTCCCCTACAAAGTCATACCAGAACCTCTTGGTCTGGTATGACCCCCAATGCCCAAAAATGGAAAAACAACCTAAAATTCCATACTAGACCCTTAATCTGAGCAGTGGCCTGGCAGGGCAGGAAAAGGAGGGGGGGGGGTGACCCCGCACCATACCAGGCCACATGCCCTCGACATTGGGAGGGTGCTTTTCCGGGGGGATCCAAAGGGAGGTGAAGCGGGCTGAATGCAGCCGATATACGGCTCAAAATAGCCATACATGGTTGCAATGAATAGCCGAGGAGGCTTCAGCTCCATTGACTTCGGCTTGGTTATTCATTCGGCTGTCTTCGGCAGCTTAGTGAATAGCCCCCTATGTTTTTTCAAATATTGAGTGATGAGCTGACCCTATAAGGGAACATTTTGTGTAAGAAGCAATTCAAGATTCCAGAACTTCTTGTCCTTCCTATGTTCATCAAGCACTATTTAGTTATGTTGCTATCACCATAACTGAACTGGAAAATGTATGCAAACTACCAGATGCTGTTTTAAGTTAAAAGTGCTTGATATTACCTATTTGTTAACACATACACTAAACAAATATCCCCATAAGTGATGCCTGGTTTTCAGCTATGTTACAAAAATGTACAAAATTAAAAGCAATGTAACAGATTGCCCTTCATAACTAAAAATCCAATTAAAAAGTCCAAATGCAGACAACAACACAACAAGGGGCTTACAAAAATCACAAGCTGGTTCCTATTTGTTACAGCAACACATTTCTAGCTGGACTCGAGCAATAATAGTAGTGATGGTTACTGTGTAATGCATCACTTAATAAGTCTGCTGACTCTGAACTTCAGCCTCTTTCTGTTGCTGTGTTTAAGCAAAGCTCTGTCTTATTTTGGCATTCGTCTCTCTGACCTCTATCTTACTTCCGACAATGACTGTGCCAGATTTTCTGATTACACTTGTCTGCCATCTGTCCTTATCTCTGGCATGACTATGATTCTGCTCCATTGATTGCACTCTAGCTGTCTTTGTCCTAAATCTTGGTGCTCCTGGTTCCTATTTTGCCAGGTTATATGATTACAGTTTACTCTCAGCAATTATTTGGCAAGTACCTGTCTCTGTTTTCGCTGTCACTCTGCTCCTACCTGAACCTATAATGCTTGCAGCTAGGCAATTCAAAGGGCCACAATCAAAGAGTTGGCCTTCAGAAAAGTTACTGGGGGCTTTGGGGAAGATATTGCCCTTCCCATCACTGTACTTTGGTGAGAGCTGTCCTTGCTTTGTCTGCATATTTTATAATCATATACTTCAGTTTCTGCTTTTCCAGCAGAGAATCTGTACCCATACTCCAGTGCCTGCTTTGTCTGCACCAGTTTTCTATCCGTTTTTAAGTGTTGTTTCTGTACAAATACAGTACCCAAACTCTAGTGCCTGTGGTATCTGCACACATACTGTACATATACTCCAGTTCCTATTTTGTCTGTACAGATCCTGTAGCCATACTTCAATTCCTGCTTTTCCGCAACATATCCAGTGCCATTGCATTGCTGCATTGCTTGCACAGATCCTGTTCTCATACTCTATTGCTTGTTGTGTCTGGACATATCCTGTAGCTATACTCCTGACCTTGTTTTACCTGCACTATTCACAGAAATCTTTTTTAACGCCACGTGGTATTCTCACAATGTATCTGTCATTTCATTTCATAGAGAAGAGAAAGGAAGGCTGGAAATGCTGCACTGGTCCTTATGTATTGCTGGTCATTTATTTAAATCAAGTGTTGTACAGCTTTAGGTTTCAATGTACAAACAAAAGCATTCGGACTTTCTGCACATATCTATCAGTTATTTATATGTTTCATATTCTTGCGTAGTATTGATTGAATCATTAAATAAACCATTTTTTTTTGTGCCTTAGGAACCCATAGAAACAGTATACTTTATTTTATATTTGCTTGCAGCTAGAGCGACTTCCACTAGGTGGTGCCCAACTATTTCTGAAACCACTCAGCCAAACAACCTTTGGTTAGGTCATACAAAATATTCTGAATATAGTTATAACCTATGCGCGGTAGCGCAATGTCGTACATTCCAGTGTGGTGCGACTTGGGTCGCGACTTAATGACCAAGGACAAATGTTGGTCCTGAGGTTATACAGGTTGAGAACCACCTCTTCAAAGAAAACCTTTCCTGAGGCAAACATGAAGGCTGCCATTGCTGTTTTTTTTATTCTGCAAATGCTTGTTTTCTGACTGTTAAGCTCACCTTGTGGCTTCAGAACTGACCCGGAACCAGTATGCAAAAGACTTCTGACTTTAGTCTAGACTTCCCAATATGCATACTTTATGCACCTTTGAATCCAGAGGGGCATAACAGTCAGGGAATAGCATTTTCAGAAAAGATCAGCAGTGACTGCCCTCAAATTTCAAATTAGGAAATGTTTACTTATAGTGGCTTAAGGTAAACAAGAGAGTTACCTTTTAAAGAATGGATGTGCAGCCCCAAACGCAGACTGTCTGTGCTCAGAGTTGAACATCTGTACGCACATGTGCATTTACGCAGGTAAAGGTGTATCCCTGTGCACAGTTGCATACAGCCAATCATTTTTATTGGTAATTGTACACAGCACCCGTGGCTCCTGGGCAGGGAAATATGCCCAAATGTTACACTGTATGGCCCCAGATGCCCATATGCATTAACCCTTAGGGCTCAATTTGCCTAGCTTTCACTTAGAAACATAAACAGATGGAGGAGGTCTCTTTCATAGTCAGTAATAGCATATAAACCTGCATACTGTAAGAACTGCCAAAATGCCCTAAAAACAATGATTTTCACCACAGCTATCTATTAAAGCAGACATCTCAACTCTCCCGGATGTTCCGGGAGTCTCCCACTATAAGATAGCGGCTCCCGGACACCCGGAAGAGAAACATTCTCTCCCAGAAAGGATTACTCTGCTTATCTAGCAGAGTAAACCTTTCCCTTCTGTTTTTCTTTACATCTGGGCTGCCGGCCGCCATCAGTTAGAAAAAAAAAAGATTGCTATTGGCTATTTCAATTTGCAATAGTCAATATCAGACTAGCTATTGGACCCGCCCACTGCTGCTGTCAATCAGCAGAGGTGGACCTGACGTTCTCCATCAGGTCCTCCTCTACTGACTGACAGCAGCAGAGGGCAGGTGCAATAGGCAGCTTGCTATTGGCTATTGCAAATTGCAGTAGCAATCTAGCCATTCATTCCTATGCTGTTTCTTTTTTTCTCTTTTATTCTGATGGCAGCAGCTGTCAGAATACTAAAAAAACTGCAGATAGCAAGGGAAGCATTAGCATCTTTTCTATCTGCCATCATTTCAGGGGGTTACTCTCTTCCTTGGGGTCAACAGAGGGCACCTCCCTGAAATGAAAAGGGCACCTCCCTGAAATGACTTATTTCAGATTGGGATACCTGTTAAAAGGTATTATCCTAAATCTAACTCACCACAGTACCTCTGTATAGTCAGCTTCTCTATGTGTTATACAGTACTACACCTTGTCAGGGTAAAGTAGAAAACCTCTTTACCCCCTTCCTGACTGGACTATTTTTGCCAAGTTGAACGTGAAGGTCTGTGGCTGTTTTAACACTTCTGCACACACAAGCTAAAATCCCAATTTTTTCTTTTTTTTTTAACTTTTTGCCTGTATCTACCTCTTATCAGCAGTAGATACAGGCAAAAAAAACGGAGGCTTCAGAACCCCTTTAACTGTATTGCTATCACACAGGGGCTAACAAGCCCTATGTGATAGCATTTCGAGGTGACCGGGTCTTAGAACCCAGATGTCTCTCCTGGCTTCCAATACAGGGGATCCAACACAGAATCGTGCCAGTTCCCATGTGTAACCAATAGTTGAGCTTGCATCTGACAGCTGTGACTCGGCAAGCGATGTGACCACAGCGCTTCCTGAGTCACTGCTCATAGAGCAGATTGGGGAACGGACATTCCCCGGTCTGCTCCCACTTTCCTTGCTGACACTCATTGCCGTAGTCCTGGGTCCCCCAGAGCAGCGGTAGAACTACTTCAGGACCAGCTATGTAAAGTGGTCCTAAAGTAGTTACACAAAGGCCTTGACTGCAGCCAAAGTTATTTGGGAGCGATCATGTAGCACTCCCGAATCACTATTGGCTGTTACTAATATGTCTCGCATGTGAGGCAGATAGTAACAGGGGAAAAGCAGTGGTAGCGATTACCGATCGCTCCCGCTGCTTGTTTTTGTTCATGATGGCCTGGGACCATTATCGTTCGTCAAGGTGATTCTTGCGATGACGCTCCCAGACTGTCATCGGTCCCCAAGGGGTTAAAGCTGAAGAGCAGTCACTACAGCTTTTGGCACAAACTGTAGATCCATAGGAGAATGTCATTAATGTCATATGTTGCTGTCTTGCCCAGTTCAAGGGCTGCCAGAGGAATTCTCCTTAATAGTCCTTATGAATGCATTTATACATTGACTGTAGTAAAATATGATTTACTTACTATTCCATTCTGAACACTGAATCCTAACTGGTATTTCAGATCAGGTCTCTTGATGAGGACAGTAGTCACAGGGGGACAACTGACAATGTTCAGCTTTAGTTGCGTTTGATTCTTAAGGCCCTGTAAATGAATAAATAAATACATATAATTAGGCTGTGACCTAGTATGGAGCAAAATCGGCTTTTGCTACTGAAATACACATTAAAAACCAACAATGAGACGACTGCTGATCCTTTGCAAGTGAAGTGAAATCCAAATGCAGAATTAAAGATGCAAAGCATTCCTGCAAAATCTAGTTTTTTCCAATGTCTCCAACAGAGCACTTCACTATATCTTTATCCATTTAAGGAATTTCCTCATGATAATACTCACACATCAAATTCCTGCAGCAGGTATTAAAATGATCTTCCCACTTAGATTTAAATTCAGTGGAAACCGCTCTGATATTCGGAAACTCTTGAACTCTCAGTCCCTGAAGACATATATCGTTGTCAATATATTTCTTCAAAAAAGTTTTATTCCACCAAAACTTAGACTTGGCTTCATAAAGTTTGTGTAATTTAAAGAAGTTATTCTTAACAAATAAATCAAGAGCAAGTATGTACCAGCTTTACATACTCCGGTAGGCTGAAAAAGGATTTCTAGATTTACCCGTATTTGTACAATCAAATATCCTTCTATCGTGATAAACAGTCTTATATAACTGTAAAACCTTTTTTTGGGGAAACTCCATAACTCTTGTGTGACTGAATAACCTTTCTTCTTTGCATACTCCATAACTCTTGTGTGACTGAAAAAAAAGCTTTTTTTTTCTTTGGAAATTCCTGACATACGATATTTAAATCATTTTGCATAATTTATTTTATACAAGCCCAGGTTGCTCTTTATATGATTGACTTATTAACTCATTAAGGTCCTGCATTGAAGGGCTTTGAGCTTTTGTCGATGGCATCAGTTTGACCTCAGTTTGAGACACTTCTAAGCTCTTGTAGAAATTATTGACAAGTGCATCTGACTTGCAGTTGACCTTCTTCTGACCTGCTTCAAGTGAGTTTTGCATTCCCTTAGACTTGTATGGGAATGCAAAACCTATCTGACACATACAAAAGCCTGTCAGCACAGGCCCTTAGACCCCATTTACACTGGGCTACATAAAAAAAAGCACTTTTTCAGCGCTGATTTGAGCTGAGCGACATTGAACTACATTGAGCTACATTGAACTACATTGCACATTTTGTCGCACTACGTAGCACTTCTTTTGGCAGTCTATCAAAGCCTATTGGGGCCAAATTGCACAAAATCTGCTGGAAAAATAGGTCATGTTCGAACGACAAGCTTGGGCTACCAGCTACAGGCGACATTGAGCTGTGAGATGTGAACAGCTCCATTGAAATGCATTGGACAAGCTACATTGAGCTACACTGATTTTCGAGCGATATTTGAGCAATATTTGAGCGATTTGTGAGCGGAATCGCGCTACAACTCGCTCAGTGTGAATGGGTTCCTAGTGTTTTGCACTCTCTATGGTTTCTGTCACGGGACAGCCTTTTCTAAGCAGGATCTGGTTTATCTGAGGAAGTTTCCACTTCCTGAATATTGAAATTAATCACTCTTACACTAACAAGGTTATTCACAAATGGGTGAAGAGCTTGGAGAAGGCAGGAGAAGTGACCAATCTAGGACAACATAGCTGAACTGCAAAGTGAGCTGAATTGGAGAATTTCTACAAATCAGTTATTTTGTCTTAGATTGTTCACTTCTCCTGCTTTCTCCAAACTCTTCACCCTTTTGTGAATAACCCTGTTAGATATTGTCTTGAACTTTTTCCAAATACATTTGAAATATAGTCTTTAGGAAGCAGATATATCCACTTCTACTACACATGTGAGGAAATTGCTGCTGCAGAGTACTAAGAATAAGGTAACTTGCCTGGGCTTCCAGCTTCATCATAGTAGCAGTGGTTGCTGAAAAGCATTACCAGTTCACTGATTGGTTTCACTTGTTGACTTGAGTTGCTGGGCTAATGAGGGTTTTTATCTGGAAACTGTAGACATTTTAATGCCACTAGCTAGGCAGTTGAATCCTTAACTTTTTTTATCTATGTAAATTTATAGCTTCCACAACGCAAGGTAAAATGTTAAAATGGTAAATTTTCTTTTTTTTAATTATATTTTTAAGATTGCCATTCTAATATGTTTAGGTAAATACAACTTACAGTATTCTGTGTATTTGGGCTACCAATACAAATATTAGCTTGCACGGTTGTGCATGACTGTCACATCCTCTAAATGCGATCAAACTACACTCACTTAAGCTAACTTCATGTTCCCAAGCGTTCAGAAACATTATTTATCTTCTTGCAGATAATATGGAGGAGTTTATCAGTGTTCCAATCAACTTTGTACTTTTTCGTTGTAACAAGGGCAGATGAAACAAAAGTATGGAAGACTATTATTTATTGCTTTCTCCAATATGAAACACATTTGAATAAAAAACACTTCTACTTTGAAGATTTGTGTAATTGCAATGTCATTGTTTTCACAAACCAAGTTATTATTTATTACAATTTAAATATATCACTCATACAAAACACACTGGAGCAGAGAGAATTTGAAGCAGCGGTGCATGGCAACCAATCAGCTTCTCTCTTTTATTTTCAAAGCTTGACTGAACAGACTGAAGAGAGAAGCTGATTGGTTGCCCTGGGCAACTGCTCCAGAATCTGCATGCTCCAGTTTTCATGAATTCCTCCCACTGGGACTCTATTTGAATGAGGAATTGTTCTTGTTACCTGCAATAACCAGACTCTCTATTTTAGTTTTACACAGTGCGTGCACAAAAGGGAGACTCAAACTGGTTGATATGGGCATCAAGAACTGTTTTTCTACAGACACTCTTATGCATCAGGCCATATAGTGAAATGTCACAAGCATAATAGCTAACCCCCAGGCTCTCATGAAGTGGCTGTAGTTACTACTCCACAGTCCGTTCCTGAAGTCCCCTGTGCACCCCAACCTGCCTGAAGTGTTCCACATGCTGCTTGTATTTTACATACTAAGGGGTCTATTCATGAAGCTGCCGAAGGATCTAGCCATGGATTCGGCCGATCCTTCGGCTAGCTCCGGCCCCAGGACCCCTTCGGTTCAGTAGAACCGAAGGGGTGCTGTACGGGCTATTCACAATAGCCCGTACAGCTCCTGAACCTGGCCAAGCAGCTCAGTCGAGCCGAACGCATATGCATCGGCTCGGCTGAGCCGTGCTGAAAGCCGAAGCTGGCCGAGCGGCCGGCCATTGGCCGGCCGACAGTCTGCCTCTGACATTGACATTGACATTGACCTCCCATTGAAATACATTGCTACATTACTATTGGCTATTTCAATTTGCAGTAGCCAATAGTAAACTAGCATTGTACCCGCCCTCTGCTTCAGATCTCCATCAGGTCCATCAGCATGGCTCCGTGTCAGAATAAAGAAAAAGTAAGACACAGCAGTGTTTCTCTCGTGGGCGGCCGGGAGCGGGAGGCTCCCAGAGCGCCCGGGAGAGGTTTTTTTTTCTTTTTTTTTTGACGGCAGCAGAGCCGCCGGACAATAGGAAACTATTGGGCGGAGCTAGCTGTCACTGCTAGCTCCGCACAATCGTTTTCTATTTACTTTTTTTAAACTTTTTAAACTCTTTTTCTGTTCTGCTCGGTACCTCTGAGGGACCGAGCAGAACAGCCGAGCCGAATGCCGCTCAGCTATGAGAATAGACCGAACAGCAGTGAGTAGCCTGCCGGAGGGTCGGCTCAGCCAATCCAGATGTTGGATCGCCTGAGTCGAACTCCTTCTGCACTTCGTGTCAGGCGAACATGCTGAGCCATGTGAAGCAAGCCGATGTACGGCTGATTTCAGCCGATGTACGGCTGAAATCAGCCGTACCAGCCTGAAGTGAATAGCCGAACAGTGTTTGGCTCACTTCACTTCAGGTCAGTCATTCACTCGGCTGCCTACGGCAGCTTAGTGAATGGACCCCTAAGTGTCATAGTCCCTGCTCTTCCTCTTATATGTCAGTCTCTGTTTTTCTGAATCACCGGTCTATTTAAACCAGTGCCATCAGCAAATTCTGTTATAATTCAAACAAAATTGGTTATTTTTACAATCTACTGTTATGTATTATAGTCTACTGTCATTTGTACTACTATACATGAGGGTTACTTATACACAACTATATGATTAGGTATGTTTATAGTTGCCAGTTGCCTACATTCTGGAATCACTCCTTTTATGTAGTGTGTAATTCTTTATTCTTTCTTATTTTAAAACTGCCAAACTGGTGAATTAAAAAAAACCACATGCATTATCCGCTATCATTCCCTGTCTTTCTTAAAGATCTTGCACGTGCTTAATCTTGTGATCTTTGTACTTGCACAAACCAATTTTCCAGTCCTTTTTAACTAATATATGACTTACCTTAATAATACCTTGGCATGTTGCTAGAGGAAGACCGACCAAGCTTGTTCCATTTATTGACATGATTTGGTCACCAATGCTGAGTTTCCCGGACCGAGCAGCCGGCCCTCCATTCATCATATTGGCCAGAATAACAGTGGGAAGTATTGAACCCCATCCGGATTCCACAATAACGACTCCCAATATCTCTCCCTTGAGCTTTTCCACCTGCAGCTGTTTATACATAGATAATAAGAATACACTAACAAAAGAAGTGTACAAAAACATAATCGGAAATACAATGACATTATATTACCTCTTTGCAGTTCTCAGAATTGGAGAAGTGTATAAGGTCGTCATTATACATTTCTTGAGTATTTATAATATCACTGTATTCTTTTTGACTCAGGTCTTCAGGGTTGATCCCATTGGCTCGTAAAAATTCCTGGTAAGCAACACTAAAAGCTTGGCCAATAGACTGAGCAATGAGCTGTGCCTGTAATTAGAAAAACAACTATACTATAATACAGCAATAAATATAGGATGACAAGTTTAAAGTAAAACAGTATCACAAATATTCTGTTAGATAAAGTGGAACCGTGGCTTGCCCACTTTCTTTAAAAAGTAATAGAACAGCTCTTGCTGCAATATTGACCTCCTCTCCAGCGCTGTCCCTGCATTACATTCCTTTCTGAGATTCAGCACTGTTCATCTTCTGGGTTGAATGACAGTCACAACCCACTTCCTATGAGACCAGGGTGTCATGGACCTGCTCATTACAATGTTGCAGAAAACTGTGCCTTGCTGTTATGTGGCGCCTGTTTCTGTAGCATTTTGGACCTGATGGAGGAAACCTGATGGACCTGATGGGTTGATGGAGGAAAAAGAGGAGGAAGTGAACTTGTGACATCATGCAACCAGACCAAACACGGTTCTTTCTGTTCCTTGTAACCATGGCATCCTACATCTGTGTACATGGCTTCCCAGAAATCCTATGTACCTGATCATGTGAGTGGCTTACTGCATTTCTCAGAAGTCTGCAGACAGCCTACCTGCATCCCCCGGAATAAGAATGTAATTTCTTGTAAGATACGAGGGTAAAATAAAAAAGTTATGCCTATATGTCTGTAATCTGAGCTCTATTAGAGTGACTGTGAATGTCCATGTACAATGTTATAGAGGTGTCCTTACCCCACTAATGCCTATCTTTTTCAGATTGAGTGATTAGAACCATGGATCTGCGCTAAAACAACACGCTGTAATTGAATATCTGATGAAAGAGGGTTGTGCACCTGAGGAAAGCAATAATCAGCTTAAGAATGTTTATGGGGATGCTGTAGTGGACATTAGCAATGTGCGGTGTTGGGTGAAGGAGTTTCAAGAAGGAGAAATTCCACTACAGCATCCCCATAAACCTTCGTTAGCCGATTATGGGGAATTTTGGGTACTGTAGTTTTTTGCCATTTCACAGGCGCATACAATTTTAAGGCTTGACATGTTTGATATCTACTTACCCAACACAACCCCATCTTTTATATTTTACAAACCAATTGGGTATTATATTCTGTTTCTGTGCAACTAGCATTTTAGCATTCTACAGGGCTTCTGGTTTTAGAAAATATGTATCGTTTGGGGGTGCTTTGTAGCCAAAATTTCAGATTTTATGTGTGTGCAAAAATTAAGAAAGTACTCCGGACGGGAAGTGGTGAATGTAAACATATGTTATATGTTTTATGACCCAAAAATAAAAGAGAAGAAACTCTTATTTTTAAAGCCACCGGATGGCAGCATTCACTAACTTTATTAGCTGTCAAATTTTGACCTGAATAAGTTTGAAAGGTTTCTGTACAGAAAAGACCCCACAGGTCAACAGGAGAAAAAATTGAATTCAAAATGATGAGGCTCTTTTAAAGTCTGAATTTTCAATTTCAACTACAAAAATCTAATGTTTCCTCATGAGATCTATTTATAATTTTTCACACATTGTTCAGCCAGTATTTACACAATTCTCCAATTAAATTTGATCAGAAAAATATGTGAATCTTAGGTAAAAGCTGTGTGGACCTTTTGTGAAAACATTTATAAATAGACCCCAAGTACCCCATAGTACCCAGGCAATACTTATTATCGATCTACTGTATGTATGTGTGTCTATTGTTATGTTTATATACAATGACCTGGATTTGTCCCATTTTACATAAAGAATATACATAGCAATCCCCAGTATGGGTGTCATATATGGTATCATGAAAAGCTCTTTGTAATATCTGAGTTATCTTTTTTCAGACTCTCACACATCATTTAGTGACACAGGAATAAATACAAATGGTCCATGTACCACCTAGAACCACATACTATGTATTTACATTGATATGCACATAAAATAGTAAACAATGATACATTTTTCCTGAATATATCTAGCGGTAAAGTGAACCACACAACTGTTATGCAGTTTTAGAGAATCCTGGTATTGTTGTCTGTCTATACATGGATATTTAGGACCTGGTTAAGCTGAAATACTGATGTTTAATTCTAGCCCTACATATTTCATTTCCTGTTTTTCAAAGCATCACCAGCTATAAAAGAAAAAATATAATAAAGTCTTAGATCCTTGCCAGTTGTACTTGATAACAGCAAACACAGGCAGTTAAAAATGATGGGTAATTTGTGGATATCATTCTTGAAATCTAATAATAGAGAGGACTAATACATTTCAAATGACCCCTGGGACCTGATACAGCAGTCATGGCAAGGTTTTCCTTCTGGGACTAGAACTTCTCAATTTTACTTCAATGGGCTCAGTATTCAAAGACGTCAACCTGAGAATGCAGTTTCCAGGGTCATATACTGTAACTTAGTGAACTGAGTGCACATGAGCAAAATGTGACCCTATTGCTAAGGTTTTAAGTATTTGGTTTCATCATAATGAACATAGTACATTTCATTGTAAATTTATACAATAACCTACACAAAATGCCATCAACACAGAGTGCTGTCTTTTTTATTTATATTTATATTCATATAATACCATAATTTTAAAAAAAATTACTACCATTAGTATCATTGACCATATAACCACTAAGCAGCCAGCCACCAGCCTACTGTCTCTATCAGCTCCTGCTTTAGTCTACAGCAAAAGATCTGCTACCATTAGCTAGGGACATTTTCCTTTAAGCAGTTTACACTATGTATCTTATGTTTGGCCAGGTACCTATGGCAAAAGGTAGTATCTACACAGCCCCAGACAGTACACAGGGACTTCAAGGATTGGAGGGCTATTGACATGCAAATTAATTTACATTCTGGGAGATCATCTCTATTTGTAGGTGTCTGGGTGAGATAGTACAATTCAAGGGTCGCTCCTAGAATTATCAGGGTCTGTAACATGTCTGCATTCTATTTTCTGCACCCTCCACAAGGATGTGAGAATGAGGCTGGTGTCTTGCACAACATTGGGGAAAAAGGTTTCTTGATGGGGGAAGGGGGCAGTAAAGATACCCTCCCAATGTCAAAGGCCTGTTATGGTTTAAGAGAAAGGGGGGTGAATGGTAGCTATTAAAAAAAAAAAATATGAGTGCCGCCCCCCAACCCCCCCCCGTCTAAATCCATACCAGACTTTTATCCAGGATAAGTGTTTGATTTGAATTTTTAGGGGAACCATATGTCTGCTGTGGGAGGGACATATTAAAATCTGGAAGCCCCCTTTAAAATAAGGGGGCCTCCAGATATTCAGTCCCCCATTCATGAATGAGTAAGAGGTACATAGTACCCCTTGTTACTCAATCACAAAAAGTTAAATAGTAAATAAAAACACCCACACCTTAGAAGTCCTTTATTAGAAATAAATAAACAATTTCCCCTGATGTAGATCTAGCGTCAATCACAGCGTCCAGTGATGTCAGTCAAGAGCTGATCACAATGAGTGACTTCTGACGACTTGTTGTTTCTCCCACTGCATTTTTTGCACTGAACTCCTCCAAGTTATTTAAAGGATTTCAAGGATTTGTGTTTTTAATGTTTCCCTTTACGCCACATTAAAAGACCTACAACTCGCTGAACAGTATTTTTTTTAAGTTTTTTTTTTTCATTGGTACAGTACATGTCCCTCATGGCAGTGCTCAGCTAGCCATGCCCACTTTTTTAACAAATGCTTGAAAATTGGCCTCGAAAATGCTAGAGACAATTAAAAGTTTTGGCTCCTATAGACTTCAATGGTATTCTGGCATGGCACTATGTTCGGGGTTAACGGATTTCCCATGGGGTGCAGCACATTTTAGTGAACCAAACTTTGCTCGGTTAACGCGTACCTAGTACCAAAATTAATCGTAAATCAGCAGTAACTAATAATACCAAATGAACCAGCATTCACATTAAAATAGTTTTACTAGTGAAGCTCATTTTTTATTCTGCTGGTACTGTACAGTATTTGCTGAGGATCAAAATCACTTTACTCTGCACACCATCATCATTTTCTGGCAGAAAGGTTTCCTAAAGGGTGATCGTTATTTAATTGGAGTAATTCTTATATCAATATGTTTTTCTTTTTCACACAGAGCATGGGCATCATATTAACTTCTGTAGCCCTAAAACCACAGCAATGGCAGGATTCTGCAAACAATGCAGCATGGCCTTATTATTCTTATTGATGTAATGTGTTCAATCTGTGGCAAAGCTGATGCATCCCTAGAGGTATGGAGATTATCTCAGCACAACACATTTTGTGACTGCAGGCAGGGAATATATCCATCCTGAGAAAACAAAAATATAATTGGTACGGTGCAGAGACTAGAGAAAGCTTGTCATAATGGAATCGGTTTTATTAAGCATAATCTTGGCAAACAGGGATAGGTGAGAGACATCATAGTGTCATTTTCCAGCCAGATGAAATTCTGTAATCTAAAACAGACATATGATCATAGGAAACAGTGGCAGAACTGCCTACATAGTGGCCCATTTTGCTTCCAGACAGGCTCAGGGCTAACAGTCTTGGTGTGACACGCACTCACCTCCAACTCCCTGGTTCTAAACTCTCACAGTTGGCCTGTCTGACACCAACATAGTCACAAATAAAAGTGCACAGTGCACATTGTAAATCCCAAGAAAAAAATTGTTAGTTCATTTTTGGGATTGTAAATGTAACAATGAAATTGCTTTTTTATATCTGTTCACTAAATGTAAAAAAATACCCAGTTTGATGTGTTCAGAGCATTTAATTTTTCCAATGGTCACTCATGGCTTTCACATCGGGAGATGTATGTAGACCCGGTCCTTTCTCCCCTCGGGTTTTGGGGACTGATGCAATTGTCCCACTTTTTGTCTTCTATGCCCCCCTCTAAAGCCTTCTCCACACTGCTTTTGCTGTTTGAACAGGAGTGTGTAAAAGCAGGTCCCGTGACCAGGGTTCTTTCCTGGTGCTACAAACTATTGCTTTCACATGACTTGAGCACTCCACTACCTATTCTTGACAAGTGGGAGAGGGACCTTCACGTTTCCTTC